GTCTGGTGATTCTAATGACTAATAATCTTAGCTGTTTCCTAGATATTGCGGCTGTAATTCAATGCTAGACGGGGCTTTAATTCACATAGAAATTGTTTCCCACAATATCATTAGTTAAAAAGATTGTAGTAGTAGTTATATATTTAGATACTAAGAAAGCAGTCAATAATGTTGCAACCATATCATTAAGCTCTGGAAGCTAGAGGAATAGAATTCAAGCAGGTTAGAACCAACTTTAGAACAATGACCATTCTAGGGAAGGCTACAAAGGTGATTGACAGGAAGAATTAATCCCACATTTGCAAGGGAAAACAACTTTCCGTGAATCTCTACAAAACCACCTTAGTTTCTTTTACTGAGAAATTTGCAGAGCCTTGGTGGTGGTGCTGGTAAAGGCTCAAAGAAGTTTAGATCCCGTTTGATAAAGACACCAACTATGGAGAGATGTAATAATGACAAAGAAAGTTGGATTACTGGACACGGAGGCTCTTAAGTGTTATTCACAGGCCTGAGTATCACAAGGGTCATAGAACCACACATATTACAGCATTGGAGGTATTTCTGAACCCACCACAACTAGATATGTTCGTTTGAGGAGAACCTGGGTCTGTATTTTATAGCTTTCAACAAAGACGTCTACCAATTACCCAGAGTTGTACGATGAGTAAAATGCACATCGGATATTAGAAACGCTAACTGACCATTTAGCCCCAAAGTACAACTCTGAAAAGAACTTCAAATTAGTAAGGAAACAATACAGGGTAATTAATACGTTCTACTAGGAAACCACAGCCCATTTACTGAACACTATCTACTACTTGATACAGAAAAACTGGAAGCTTATGCCAACGAATCGTTGTCAAACCTCTGAAGCCTAATTAAAAGACTAAAGCTGAATGAAGAACTCTAAGACCAATGGAAGTCAACAATAGACCTATGGTAGGTAGGATTGAGTGGCGTATTCACCTCATGCTTCTACAATTTTCAAACCTCAATGATGTTTCCTAAACCTTCAAACCCTATATTCCAAAAACTATATATATTTTTTTAAACTAAATTTAATTTAGATGTTGCAACAAAATACAGTGATAGATTTTTAAACAATACTTGTGAAAACTAATAAAAATAAGAACTCTCGAATTTTAAATTGCTACACCAAATCCATTAAAAAAGTTAAATGCGTCAAATATATCATGAGAATTTTGAAATGGGAGGAAATACATGAGCCAAATCTATTTACACCTCAAAGTTATATAGTTACTAAAAATAATTTTTCAAATTCAAATTATAAAAAGAAAAACTGAATAGTTCTTTAAATAAAATCTATAAACTGAACTACTGACTAATATCGATACAGTTGAGAATAAATTTTCCATCAACTCTCGCTCTTTCAACATATTTTGTTTCATCAGTAGTTTTGACGCGTATGAGTATAAACAGGTAGGTATACTAATACACAAAAAAGTGCCAAGTTACATATATTAAACTGATCCAAAAAATTTTCGACGTTAACTGTATTTCCCACTTATTCAGTTTCAAAAAAGTTGCACCTGTGCGAATAATTCATATGAAATCAATTTAACTGTAAATTGTAATCAGAACAAAGTCCGATATTTTATAAAGATAAAAATAATATGATGGAAATAAATCTAGAATTATTAGTGTATTAAATCTAATTACAATGAAATTTAATTTTTAGTTGTATTCAATGACACGTAATTAATTTTAATTGCTTTTCTCGTTTCTTTCAGGTGAATTTTTGTGAAACACAGATACACTGCCATTAAAACCAAACTAAATCAAAACAGGTGCCTATTACTTATTAGCTCATAATTATTCGAACATTTCTTGGCACTGCTTTGTTAACGTATCACCCACGTATGTTCCGTTTAAACATTGCTCCCGGGCAGCAATAACTCACAACGATTTTTTTATACGGCAGTGACCCTGCCTGTCTTAATATATTTGCGGTACTTATTAGAGTGAATATGTCAAGACAAATAAAACTACGTCAAATAAACAAAAGGACTGCCAAAATATTTAAACACAATCTCTTGCAGAGATATTCTACTTTACTGTTAAGATTAAGAACCACAAAACGAAAACAATTTAGATCGAGAATTCAAACATTAGCGTTTTATTGCACATGATTCAAAGTGGGAATTAGTACCGGGTGTCGCAAAATTCAAGCAAGATTTGAATTTTGCGACAAAAGTGTTGCAAACGACAACAAAGATAAAGAAAAATAATGAAGGTTTGGCAGCTACAACTCGTAATTTTTGTAAAAAATATGGTCGGAATAGTGATTTAAATTCATCGACTGTAAAGAGATTAATTGAAAATTTCAGTGAGACTGGATCAATTAGTGATCTTAAACACTCTCGCTGTCCTTCAACAAGTAGTTCAACACAAAACATCGAAGCAGTTCGTGAGAGTTTTGCTGAAAGTCCAGGAATGTCAATTCGGAACCGTGGTCAAGAAATGGACATTTCGGGAAGCTCTCTACAGCGCATTCCCAGAAAAGATTTGCATCTTCATGCTTACAAACTTCAATTGACTCAAGAACTAATGCCTGCTGACTAGACAGAGCGAAGAGTTCATTGAATGGATTATGGAACAACAACAATTGGACACTAATTTTTCTAACAAAATTATGTTCAGCAATGAAGATGGAAATCATCTTGGTGGCTTCGTTAATTTACAGAAATGTCGAATTTGATGTTCAAAAAATTTACGAGTGAATGTTGAGAAACAAATGCATCCACACCGTGTCATTTTTTGACGCGGATTTTGGGTTGGAGGTATCTTCGAAAATCCGTCTGGTTAGGCAACAACAGTTAGTGGTACTCGCTATTGCGACGTGATAATCCAGTTTTTTTTTGTAGGTCAAACTGAAAGTTCAAGGTCATTTCAAGATCAAGCCGTTTTTTTTAAATGGCGACCCTCCTTTTCGGCCCCAGAAATGGAAAAAGCAGAAAATTCTGCATTCAAATATGACATTGACCGTGACCTCAAGATCAATGGTCAATGTCAGTCAAATGTGAATGAAAATGAAATCAGAAGGTGTAACAGTCTTTGAGTACATTCCTGGTGGTATTCCTTAGTAAACTTGATCTTGAGGTCAAGGACATGTCAAGGTCATATCGTTTTTTTGAGTGGCGACCCCTTACTTCGACGCTATAAATAAAAGCGTAGAATTCTACATGTTATTATGATCTTAAACGTGACCTTAAGGTTAATGGTCAAGGTCAGGAGAGGCCAAGTAATTATTTATTATTTTCGACGATGGAATAGAAGAGACTCACAATTTCGTAGTGATCGCAAGATCAAGGTCACTAAGGAGTACCATGAGGTATATACTCAAAGTCTGTCACTCCCTCTGATTCCGTAGTTAAAATTAAAAAATACAGCAAAAATCAACATTTGACCTTGAACTGACATTAACCTTGAGATCACGGTCAATGTCATATTCGGATGGAGAATTTTCTGCTCTTTTCATTTACGAGATCGAAAAGGAGGGTAACCGGTTTAAAAAACGACTTGATTTTGATATGACCTTGAAGCTTGACCTTGACCTTAAGATCAAGGTTACCATCGGATGCGCCGTGAAAAATTCTGGGACTTTAATCCTCACCATTTATTCCAAAAATGCTTTTCCGCTGAGATTTTTGGGGGTTTCCATAATTTTGACTAACCCTGTATAATGATTTATGTAAGTAAATATATTATAAAATAGAAAATTTCTGGACAGGTAATAAAATATGAATAGAATCCTTCAGCTTGGAACAATATTGGAGACTTATTTCATGTATAACTTTTTTTAACCCGATATTATCTGTACAAAATAATAATTTTTTTTACCATTTATACAATGTGGAACAGTATGTGTGGAAAATAAAGGAATATTGTTTCATCCAAATTTAGAAATATTTTCTTATACAAACATGTCCTCGAAGCCATACATGTATTATATATTCAAAACGAATGGAAATATCGAGACGCAAGATTATTGGTTACAATAATTTCATAGTTTTTTTTTGTAATATTTTACCATACCTATACATTTTTCTTTCAATTAAGTGATTTTTTTTAATTTAGCACGCCTACTATTGGCACAAACTACACATATGAAAAAAAGTCAAAATTGTAAAGGCCCCTATTGAGTAAGAAATTGATTATAACTTTTTATTTTCAGTTTTTTAAAAAATGAAGCAGCTTAAATGATCATTAACTGATTATACCCAATTGTTCTCTTGCTCCAAGTCGACAACATTACTCTTTGCTGAGAAAAAACGCGTTTAACGTTCTTCTTAAATTTTAATCAGAAAAACGCTCCTTCAATTTTGACACATATTTATCATGTCTCTTCGAGATGATGTTTCCAGTTGTCTTAAGCCGCAAGAGAAGAGCTCAACTAGCGATTTCAGAGCGCTTCTGCCTGAAATTATTAAATATCACTTAACCATCTCAGACAATCCGATGCGAAATCGGCTGCTCATCAATTTATAATTAAAAACGATTAACTGACGTGGATTGTTCTGAAATTCCGAGCGCAGATTTCAGCCTGAAACTCATCTGTACATTTCAATTTTTAACGAATTCTAATACACTTCGCTTGTATCTAAATATTTGAAATATTATTGTAAGCGGTCTTTACAGTAAGTGTTTCCTATGATAATGTTCGCTTAAACCCAAAAGGCTGCTTCAAAACATTCGTATTACATAAGTGAGGCATTTACAAGGTGTGACATCGTTACTGCGGCAGAATTCACCGTTAAAATAATCAAGAAACAAGAGTAACATTTTTCTTCCACGATCCTTCAAATATTGAACTAGGTATAAACGGAAATCGTAAATAGACCAAACAAATTTAGATCATTCTTTAGGCCAATATAAGAAAAAAGTTTCTATGAACACATGTCAGAAAACACTTTATTTCTACGATTCAAGGTACTTTTGAAAAATATAACATAATATTAAAATATGACGCAGATCAATAAACAATTTAACTAATTGTAAGTAAAAGTAAAACTTCACTGAATTTATGTACAATTATTTCAACCAGTTATTTCCTTTCCCCTTTTCAAAAAATCAGTCTAAACCTCCTCTCTCGCCTTCTTCCTTTTTGGTCTTCTCCCGAGTCTTCTCCTCATCTAAAAAAAATGATAGGATTTTCATTTTTTTTGTTGCAATTTAAAATAATTTAATCATTAAAAAAACATTGTCTATTATTGTCTATTGACCAAGCTGCATCTATTTAAAATTATAGATATTGCTACTAAACATCCCTACAGTTTTTTATAAACAATTTTAGTTATTTCCGATAAGAGAAACACTACTTGTCCCAAGTTGTATTAACCATTGCAGAACGGCAACAATAACCTAACATTATAGTCATCATAAATAGCCTGGGTATAATGTCCATTTACTATAATTTACTGTTAATTTAACAGTGCTGAGTTATGGTATTAGTTTAACTATATACAGGGTAGCCCATTGAAAACGTACCGCAAGGCATTACAGGGTAGTAATGAACTTTTCGGCAAAATCCAAAAACAGGTAAAGTTTGCTTCTGAGGGGGACAACTTTTGGCGCAAAAAGCATATCAAAATCTTCAACCCCCTAAGTGGGGGTGCCATCCCCCAAATTTTTTTAAATGGGNTTGTATGCAAGTTGGCGGACAACATTTTCAGCATTTACTTGACTAATACCGTAAGTTTTGAAGTAAAATTAAATCGATTTTCGCATTTCTCGTCAAAAATATTGTTCGTATTTTCAATGCTGCATATTTTCTAAAATAATGAATCGATTTTCAAAAAGTAAGAATCGATGTATAGAGAATTAAAAGCCCTTTCTAATGACCCCCCCCACTTGACCCCCATTCCCATTTGAAAAATTTTAGGGGGTAGCACCCCCACTTAGGGGGTTGAAGATTTTGGTATGCTTTTTGAGCCAAAAGTTGTCCCCCTCAGAAACAAATTTAACCTGTTTTTGGATTTTGCTGAAAAGTTCTTTACTACCCTGTAATGGCTTGCGGTACGTTTTCGATGGGCTACCCTGTATATAACATTGCTGGCCCTATTTTAGAATAAAATGTCACGTTAATCAAAATTTAAATTTTCAGTGCTTACAAAAATTTCTACTGACCACCCCTATTTGAATAAATGATAGCCAGAGAGATAGATTTAATTTTTTAATGATTGTCGTCGTGCAATTATTGAATAGTTAGGGGAAAAAAACTGTTTACAGTTCATGGCTGACAAATTCCTAACATTTTTGTGAGTTATGGCGTTTTACTCGTGAGTGCACATTCCACGAAAACAAGATGCACAAAATTTTTCTTTTAAATTATTTATCTATTGTAAAAGAAAATTATTTCTCATGACAAAATCAAATTTTTATATTCCTCGCAGTTGCTGTGTCAATTTTAATGCAATTAGTTACTATAATGAGGAAATAGGTTTAAAATCTATATATTCAGTTGTTCTTAATTAATTTATCAAAAGTCCAATCTTTATAGAATAATAGAGCCCTTGGGAACTCCTTTAGGAGTAGCTACTATCCTCGTCTTTTATACTTATTTTTCTACGAGAACTGACACTGTATCGCTAGGACGATATTACAATAATAGTACCTAGAAACAACCAATCCACTTTGCGTCTAGACTCCCAACAGGCACGTTTTTCTTGATTTATAATGAAAAAAATTAAATTAATGGGTTTTATATTTATTTTTCTACGAGAACTAAAACTGTTTCGCTAGGACAATATTACAATATTTAGAAATAACCAATCCACTTTGCTTCTAGACTCCCCATAGGCACGCTTTTCTTGATTTTTAATAAAAAAAAAATAAACTAATAGACTAGGTCACGTTAAGTTTTTCTGTGTGTAGCCCTTGAAGCAAAGTGAATTTGGCTGTCTCTAGACTCTAGCCGATATTACTCCCTGTAATAGCAAAAAAATATAACACGATACAGAAAAGCAATTATTTTTAGATCAGCTGTGAAATTACCATGTAAATTGTAAATAACAAAACTACGTGTTTTTATCAGTATATATTCCCAATGGTAAAATTTCACCAAATTCTCGCAGTGATGTGGAGATAAGTCGTTCTGGTAATTATTCATACATGTAAACTGAGTTATACGCATAACTGCCACTATTTTCCACGAAGGCTTAAGCCTACAACCGCCGTCCCGAGAATTGGATCAATTTTATCAGTACCTAGGTATATGAATAATTGAAGAGGTTACACCGTCAAACGACTGGCCATTTAATTACAAATGCAAGTAAACGAATTATATATCCAAAAGTGGTAAGCGATGGTGGGGCGATGGAATTTCAAAATTTTAAAATGTATTAAATGAACTAAAATACATCAACCGACTACATTAATATTTATACGAATATTTAAGTTACCTAATAACATCAGCAGATACCAGAAAAAAAACTAAAAACGTGACAAAATAAACTGGCGTTTTATAGACAAGAAATAGCAATTTTCGTAAGACAATGATAAAACAAGTAGATCCATCCAAGAAATGACAAAGCGTAACGCTAAACTAGAGCAACTTCCTTTAATTTTTTTCATTGATCACGAAGAACGTGCACTGAAAGAGATGCGTTTTATTCTTTATTAGAATTCTATATACCATTATAAAACCATTGTATACTATATGTGACACTTAAACAGATGAATATTGGATATAAAACGCGTATTGCTAGCACAGTTGTATAGTGACTATAAACCTTATTCTTTATTAAATTATTGTATAACTAGTATACAACGTTTTTTATACCCTTTACGAAATAATAGCAATAACTGTTATTAAAGTGTTCCATATCGTTATTAGAACATCTAGTACTGGTTATAAGTTTTATAATAATAAATGTATTAAACTGTTGTATACTCTGTATGAGTTAAAAACATGTCATTAAGTTTTCAGAAATTTTATTGGATAACTGTAATTACAAGCTAAGGTTCTAATGTAAACATACATAAAACATACTTTTAAGCATTAAAAATGATGACAAATCGCTCCCAAAACTGTCCAGTTTATTTTCTTAGCAACGATGCACCCGTATTTTCTTGTATTACATGAGAATTTGCACTATAACTCTTCCACCTTAAGAATGAAGCATCCCCAGAAAGGTTGAGCTTCTTTCCATATAATTTTATTTCCTCTGGTTGATTGACTTTATACCCATGCT